GCCTTTCGCTCGTCGTGGATTCACCATGGAATCCGTCAGTGCCTTTTACCTTCCCAAGCTTGTTGGCCTCGCAAGGGCGATGCATATGACGGCGACGGGCAACACGTATGCTGCGTCGGACCCTATGGTCAGCGGCCTGTTCTCGAATATTCTCCCGACACCGGAAGCCACTCTGAATTATGCCGTAGGCACGGCGGTTGATATGGCGGAGAACACATCTCTCATGAGCACCAAGATGATGAGAGACCTGATGCTTTACTGCCCCAACACGCCCGAGGAAACTCATTTGCTAGACTCGAGGACCTTCATTGCTTCAGCGGGGTCACCGGACAATGTCGAGGGTCTGAGGTCGTTCATGGAAAAGAGAAAGCCGGAGTTTGCTGGAGACATCGATAGATCTGAGTTTCCATTCTGGCCGTGGTGGAAACCTGGAGCCAAGGAGGCGATTCCAGGGTTGAAAGCTAAACTCTGAGGCAGCTCGGCTTACACGTTCGCTAGGGCAACATTGGTGACGATCGAGGCGATCCTTTGTAACTCTAGTATCTTCTGAATGTAAGATTGCTCTCGAGATCTTAAAATTGACCAGCGATTCCATTTTTCCAAACTGTCTTTTTCCAATTTAGTGAATAGGCAGCTACGTGCTTAATTGGAAGGTTTTCTGAGGTTCATGTCTTGTAGGGTTCGAGATGCAGAGATCAACATCGAACACATGCAATCACTCTTGTACTGGCCTACCAGCTAGAATTTCTCCAGACTCCGCCGTTCTCTCATTAGAGGTATAATCACACTATCTTACATCAAAATCCCACCAGTATTAGCATCAGTGACATGTCCATGTTTCACGGATGAGTTTGAAGCTCAATTCGCACCCATGCTGAGGCAGAGCATCATATGCTAGCGCCAAAGCGGCCAAAGTGCCTCGGCACCTCGGCCTCGGCAACAAGTGGGTCACAGTGCTCAGGGATCGGAGCAATCCCTCGCTGAGCCACCTCAATATTCATCGGCGCGCCGCCATTCATGATTGTGTTGCATCTGGTCTCGATAGGATTCGACCGAAAACCGGTCCGCAGAACACGACATCTATCGGCGCCATGACAGAACCCCGTCCGACGGGCCAAGAGGCCCCGGAAGGACCCCGAGAGCAGAGCCTGGGGGTTTGGAATGAGGTGCTCAGTGAAAATAAAGTTCATCCCACAGGCATGGCGGGACCGGACTTCGTTCATTGATCGTCGCGGTGCGGTGCTGGCCCCTTTTACGGGAGGCTGAAGTCGTCCAGTGTCCACAGTCTGTCCATCGACTGAATATCCAGCCATGCATCGGTGCTGCGCCAAGTCAATGATTCGTGTTCTCATGAAAGCTTCGCGGCACTTACTGCGTTCCGGATATGGAGGCGTCGTCCTGATATGCGCCGGGCAAGGGGCTCCACATGTTCGATATAATGTTGGCGCTGCCCAGGCCGTAACCGTCTGGCCAGTCGGCGAAGGTGTTGCTATTCATTGTGCCGTCAGGTGCAGTTGACGCCGTGGGCGCTGCGGGAGACGGTTGATATTCTTGATGAGGCGGCGCGTTGTCGACTTTGTTGATGGCGGTCTCGAAGAGTTTGTACGACGCCTCTGCCGAGATGTAGCTCTTGCGCAACTCGTCCATGGCAACCATGCACAAGGCGAGATTGTGTCTGCCCATTTGGCGTGCCATTTGTTTGGACGACGTTGATTCGAAGAGGTGAATCTGCATTGGTGGCACTAGTGCGATGACACTGTTCGTTGCGTCAGTTGTACTCCAGACCAACATCTAGGTGGCTGACTTACGTGATGGTGTGGCATAGACGGATAAGATCCTCCGCCATCATGGAGTTCACTGCTGCGCTCGCGTTGGACGCGGCAGTCCGGGTTTTCTGGCATGCAAAGGTCCTCCAGTTGCCTTGATCAGCGGCCGGGATCTCTCGCGGGGTATCTAGGATGAAGGGTCGATAAAGGACAATGATGGATGTTCTGAACGCTCGTAAGCTCCCGCCCAGCACATTACAAACTTCTCGACAACTTACTCAAAGTAAAGTTTGAACTGGTATATGTGAGATGCAACCACCCGACTTTGGTTCGTGGCCTCCGGGACCCGGGTCTGAAACGCCCGGATCTGGCTCTCGCTCCGTTCAATGTCAGCTCTCGACGGCTTCACACCCTTTGCCCGGTAATTCGTCGAAAGGATATTGCCAAGCGTCGCGCTGAGTCCGACAAACTCGAGCCAGATGTCGAACAGGAAGCCGAGCTCGCCTGGAAGGTACTTTCGGCCGAGGTTCCCCGCGACCTCGGGTGAGAGGACGTCCGCGTCGCAGGCTGCCGGCATGGGGGTGTCAAAGTCGTCAAAGGCGATGCGCATCGGTCGACCGAGTCCCAGTGAAAGCCATACTTCACGACTGTATAGCGACCACCAGAGGCGTCTCCAGAATGGCTTCGTGCCTTGGGAGGCCTGTTGGCATGGCATGTTGAGACGATGGAGGCCGATGGTATGAGAGAGGCTGATGGCGATACCGTTCCAATGCCATGGGCCGGCGCGATCATCTGTACTGGTATACCAGTGTCCCATCAGGAAGAGAGACTGTATGAGGGTGACTTTATCTTTTTCATAGTCCGCATCATAAAGAGCCTTATTTCAAGTCAGACAGGAGATGAGTAGGATCATGTCAGATATGCTTACCTTTGCTCGTTGATACATGCCTCTCTTGAGCGCCCTCCTCGAGGGATAGAAATCCTCGGTAAGCAGGTTTTCATCAACAAACTATAGTCGCGAGTTAGCTATGTGTTAACACTGAGGAAATCCGGCATGTCTTACGCTTGCCGCCGCGATGAACATGCTCCACAACAGTAAGAGGCTCTTCCGTCCTTTCTCATACTCCGTGATGAACTCGTTCGCATCCAGGATGGGTGCAAATGGATGAACATAGTGAAAGTAGCACCGTATCATGGCCTCGCGAACGCGAGCTGGAGGTAGCGTGAAAGCGCCCTTGGATCGAAGATAGTTGACATCCTCTGGGGCCAGGGCTTTGATCGAGGGCATGGGTACCAAGAAATGATTGTCCTTCGAGGATCGATTTGGTTCACAAATGTCAATCAAGAATGCGGGCCCGCGTTGATCTCCTAAATACTGGCGTTAATAAGAAGCTCTGATGTAAACAAGTTTGTATGCAAGATGCATCATGGAACTCATCACTGCCAGGTAGGGTAAGCGTCCTTACCGGGATAGAATGGCACGCAGCCGTCTTCTCGGTTCTTGCCGCCCTCAAGGGTCTCTGCATAAGCGGAGCTGTCCTCGGTAGCATCGGACGGATCCGGGGCCGATCGCTGGTTTTTGGCGGGAAGCAGAGCTCTCACTGCATCGTAGGGCCGAGTGGTGTGGACAGATGCGTCCCCCACGGAGTTGTTCCTCGCTAGTAGTCCGGGGGGTGTTGGTGATCCGGGCCCATCATTGGCATGGCGGTGCTCCTCAAGCGGCGCCGAGCCCCCTCGAACATTGCGATTCTCTGAGCTTTCAGACTTTTCCCGGGGATATGGGCCTGCTGTTTGCGGCTCAAGAAGACGGCGCTTGGGTTGGCCCCGTTGCGGGATGATGATCAACGGGTTCTCACCACCAGCGGGTCCACCCCCGGTATGTGTCGGGAGTTGGTCCGAGTTGCTTTGATAATTAGTACGTCTTCTAAGAGGGTAGTAACCACGAAGGAACTTACCGCCGTCGTTTACGACTCAGGACCTCGCACGTAATGCCGTCCACAGAGCAGTTGGCGCATGGTGGGCCGGATAACGTGACGGTGCACCTCACTTTGCGCAGGTTACAAGCCTTGCACGCCACTGCAGCCCGCTTGAATGTTCGTACCGCTGGAGGTGACGACGCCGGAGCAGAGGCAGTGGCAGAGGAGGGCTCATTTTGCTGCTGCTGCTGTTGCTGCTGGGACATAATCTGCCAGTTGCTGAATCAGGCAAATGTAAAGAAGACAAAGGGGGGTCTAGAGCGTTATCGATACGCCGGGATGTTGATCATAAGAAGGTGATAAGAGGGTGTCCTCCATCCATTCTAAATCAAGTTTTTTTGGCTTCAACTTGAACTTGCCTTATCCTTCAGGCCTTGGATAATCTCGCAGCGAGTACGAAAGTTATCGCGATGTGCGAGGGACTCGATAGTAAGGGTCGTGACAAGCCTGGAGTAGCCCGTGTCAGCTGTTTTCGCCGAGGATGTGGCTTAGGTAATTGCATGTGAGAAGGGGGTTGGGGTTTTTGTACCCATTCGGAGTAACGCAAGAGAGTTGACGATCTTTGTCGGCGAAGCGGGGAATTCCGTGGTCCGACCGCAACAAGAGCCGATAGCAACCTAAGCTTGCGCCGGAACGGTTTCGAGCAGACATTCTATCTGGTAGACGCGTTTCGATGTTGATCAATGATTTCTCGTTACACCTGGTTGGGACGAAGATGAAAGATCCAAGAGTCAGGTGTGCCAAAAACAACAAGTCGTTATTATTTCATGATCCACTTCTAACCATCCAATGTCCATGATCATGACCATGTTCATGTCCGTAATCCATTATTCGTAAGCATCATTCATCCATCCAACGCCCAATGCACCGACTTCCGTTTTTTCTTCTTCTTGTTCATCTCTTCAGGCACACGTATGCGGGCATCCGCAATCACAACTCCAAACGTCAAACTCGACGCCCGACTATGCGTACAGGCCGTCGTCGTACCATCAATCTCCCATTCCCAACGCGCCTTCTCAATCATGTCCCCGGCCTTCCGCAGCTTCTGCCGCCATCCCTCCACAAACAACCACGCAAGACGAAACACGCTCTCGCCAGAGGGCTCTTCGGGCTCTCGCACCTCGGTCCAGACGACCGGCACCCGGAGGCCGCTCGCATCCTTTCGGTACTTCCGCATCGGGCGGTCGTCATCCACATCATCGTAGTCCGCGTCCCGCTTCACCCTCATGACTTTGAGCCCCGCTCCGCCCGAGCGTGGTCAATTTGCCTCCAGCCCCCCAGCAGAGTTTCGTAGGAGTGCGCTCTGCTCGTCAACCTCGTCCTCGTGTTCGTTGAGAAACCCGGCCTTGCGCTGGTAGCCGGGGCCGTCGTCCTCTTCCTCGGGCTTGGCACGTCGGACTGGGTGAAAGACACCTGAAACCGGCCGGGATCGGACCGGGCTTGCGGGCTCTTGCTTTGCTTGGTTGCCTTCGAAGATCCCGCGCATCCTACTGATGAGACTTCCGGGTGAACTGCCTGTGCCGGAAGCCCGTCCAGGGCTGTCGGACGTCGATCCGACGGAGCCCGATGCTCCATGAAGTGACTTGGTGCCCCCACCGTCATACTTGAAGGGGTCGTCAAAGGACCGATCGGTAAGAGTAGAATCATTCCGCGGGCGCGTCAGGTTATGCACAGAGGCTGGCCACGAGTCCCGAATGACGGGTTCGTGCTTGTCGACAGGCAGCGCTGAGTGAATAGGTGACGACGCCATGGAGTCTATCGTGCTCTGGCTCTGTACGGAGTACGGCACAGAGTCGGTTCGAGCGTGCCAAGGAACGTTGGTCACGTCGCGCGGGACGAATGCATCGGGATCAAAGTCTTCCTCCACGACCGGCTGGGAAGGCGGTGTCTGTGGTCGGTCAGGATTGTGTCTGCTGTTGGCAAGACCACGAGACGGTGTGGAGGGCGTGCCTTGAACAGGTGTAGCAGGAGTGGCACGCGAGGGAGTAGCCGGTGATGACTCCTGGCGTAAAGCAAGGGGGCTCACGTCCGGTGCTTGCTCACTTTGTTGGGGTGCCAACTGTGGAGTGGCATGTTCAAACTCCTCCTCTGATGAGTCGTCCGCCTCTTGCAACTCGGCCTCTAGTGAAGACAATTGTCCGTGTTGAGTTTGCTGGTAGTCCGGGCTGTACTGTGGCCGCCCGTATTGCTCGTCGTCATCTTGGACGTGACCAAACTGCTGAAACTGCTGCTGCGCGTACGGATCTTGCCCGTACATTTGAGCTTGTTGCGCAGCGGCAGCATACGGGTCTTGTCCGAAAGCCTGGCCGTACATCTGAGCCTCCTCCGGGCTGTGAACCTCTTGGACATGGACCTCGGGCTGATACGCCTGGGTCTGCAACGGAGAGGGCTGCCCAGTCTCCGCACCTTCATGGATGGACTTTTGGAGCTCTGACCTCAGAGAGTCGGAGCGGCTGTGCCTAGAAGCCCCGAACAGTGACGGGGATCGAAGTTCGTCACGCCATGATGATGCTCCAAACCGTGAAGATGCGTACTGGGTGACAGGCTCGTCGGACGCCATAACTGCAGTCTTTGGTCCATCGTCGTCGTCGCTCTGGAACGAGTCGATGACCTGCTCCAAGACCGGCTCAGTTGCTTCTGGCTGTTGAGGGGCGTTGAACTGGGTCAAGAATGAAGGAGCAGCAGGCGCGATCCCCGGGGTGATATAGTCGCTGTCATTGTCAGAGTCGGAGTCTTCGAGGTGACTGGCCGGAATGTCTTGTCCATGCGGAACACCAGACGTTGCTTGAGCATAGGCTGGGCCATAAGCGCTGTCCTTGATGTCAGCAGATTCCGGATGTCGCGGTGAGTCCAGAGCGCCTTGCGTGTACTGCGAAGACGCGCTGAACCCGGCTGAAGCCAGGGGAGTGGCGTACTCCTGCGAATCGGTGTCCGTGAAGTCTCCCGGTCCAGCTGGGGTGAGGTAAGTCGATGCCGTGGAGATCTGGTCGTTGCTTTCGTTGGCCCACTGCTGCTCGTAGTTGTCCACACGCAGCTGAGGCGTGGGTGCGGGCAATGCTGAGTCGGCCGCAAGACGGGCTGCCTCGCCGCGCTGGTTGATGTTCTCCCATGAATCATCGCTTTCTTCCCCGTCTTCTTCTCTTGGATGACTTGGAAGATCCTGACTGCTTCTGGGTCCCGACGCCGTGAATGGTGTTTCCATCGGGCATTGTTGGGCTGTCGGGCTTGCTGACATCGGGCTTACTGTCGCCAGAGGGCTGGTTGACCTCATCAGGTTTGTCGTCGCCATCGGACTCGGTTCCAGGGGGCTTGCTGGGCTCATCGGGTTGGTTGCCATCGGGTCGCTCTCCATCAACTGGTTGTTGAGTGTCACCGTCACATCCGTTGTCTGGCCATACTTATTAGCATTCAAGTCCTCCTCTTCACTGTCGGAGTCTTCGAGTGGTTGACGGTAGCGATCCTGTGCGCTGGGGGCACGCGGAGGCGGAGGCGGTGGCGGGGTCGCTCTGTACTGCGACGTCGACAGACTGTGCATCTGGTCGGGCCGAGTGGCATTCGATTCCCAAGCATCATCCATATCCTCTTCTTCGTCACTAGTATCCAAGAGATCCTGGCCATGGAGACCCTGCGAGACTGGGGCTCGCGGAGGTGGGGGCGGGGGCGGGGTGGCCCTGAACTGAGATGTTGATGAAATGGGGAACTGACCAGGTCGAGCGATGTTGGGGATTTCGTCCTCACTTGAGTCCGCTTGCTCTTGATGATGGAAGCCTTGTGAACTGGGCACACGAGGCGGCGGGGGAGGAGGGGGTGTAGCCCTGTAACCTGAAGACGCCATCGCGAAGGGCTGTGAATCTTGAGAGGGTAAGACACCTTGATCTTCCTCGTCTGAGTCCTCCACGTGAAGTCTGCTCTGTGACAGGGAACTGGGGACACGGGGAGGCGGCGGGGGCGGGGGAGTGGCTCCGAACTGCGATGTCGAAAGAGTTGACGGCTGGGCGGGAGTGAAGTCGTTGTCCCAATCATTCTGTTCCTCTTCGGAAGAGTCTTCAAATTGTTGTCCGTAATGACCTTGTGAGCTGGATCCGCGAGGAGGGGGGGGGGGGAGGGGGAGTCGCTCTGTGCAATGAAGATGAGAGGGGGGCCGGCTGGGTAAACGCAGCAGACTGCGATTCCAATGCATGCTCATCATCTTCGGACGAGTCTGCTGCTTCCTGCTGGTAGAAGCCCTGGGAACTTGGAACGCGAGGGGGAGGCGGAGGAGGGCTTTCTCTGTACTGCGATGATGTCAACGCGGGATTGATCTGACCAGGCATGTTCGAGTTGTAGTCTTCTTCCTCATCGGAGTCTTCGAAGCCATGGCCGTGACGCTCCTGGATGCTAGGCAACGAGGGAGGAACTCGTTGCTGCAAGGGTGGCAGTTGTTGCGAGCCGGTGAGACTCTCAGGCTCTTCGGAATCAGAGTCCATGTCTTCCAACTCGCTATTGTAGCGCTCCTGGATGGTATCCAACGGCGTCACTGCGAGTCTGGAAGCCAGCGGGCTGGTGCTTTGGCCTACTGAGCCGAGGCTGAAGGGATCTTCACCCTCCTCATCTGAGTCTACCATAGGGCCAACCGGGTATTCTTGGCCCACGATAGATGGAACGGCTTGGCCGAAACTCGTGTCATCGGCTCCGCTGCCCATGCTTCCCATGCTTCCCACAGTGCCACTTCTTCCTCTGCTTCTGGCTGCTGCAAACGGGTTGGTGTCTACGGGAGAAGCGCCGAGGGTGCTGACGGTGGGAAGGAAACTGCGGTCGGATGCAGGGCTCCTTGCAAAGGGATTGTATGACTCTGGAACCTGAGGCGTGGGCTGGCGACCCTCGACAGGCGGCGCAGCGGCAGCAAATGGATCTTCGAACGTGGACTCGTGTCCCGTCACATCTGCATCGTGGCCAAAGTCACTGCCTGGAGTTGTGCTACGGGCAAAGGGATTCCCTGGTGAACGTTGGGCTAGGGGGCTGCCCGATGAGTTTCGACCTGTAGGAGCAGTGCTCCTGGCAAACGGGTTGGTGACCGGTGACTCTCGTGCCTGCTCGTCAGGATGAGACCCAAAGGAGCTTGCAGAACGCAGGAAGTGCTCCGCCGCGGGTGATGTCGAGCGCTGTCCCTGAGGGCTGACCGAACGCAAGAAGTCCGCGGCTGTGGTAGTGTTCCTGGCGAAGGGGTTGTTCGATGCCTCCGATGTTTCTGTCGCCATTTGCTGGGCGAAGGGATTGTATGCCGCCTGCTGCGTCGGTCTAGCAAAGGGATTGACGTAAGTCTCTTCCGCATCGCTGTCCTCCTCGCGGACGCTGAGAACCGGTGACGAGTGGTCATCATCGTAATCCACGCTGTCAACGTGATCGTCAAAGTGAACTTGCTTCGTGGAAGAAGAGAAGCTGGCATCTCCATGGTCATGGGCGCTAGCACTAGGCTCGAAGCCTTCGTGGTACTCTTGATCGTGATCCCGGTCCGCAGCGGCAGCCATGCTCGTAGTCTCGGTCATGTACGAGCTCTCAACAGCGGCATCTGGCGCTTCAGAGACGTTGCGGCTCAAAGTGTCAGGATGATAGTATGATGCGGCTAAGCCGGAAGTATCACCAGCTGCTGAGGTGGCAGGCTCAGTGTGCTCAGTGATGACTGAGAGATCGTGCTTTTCGCCAAGTTCTTGGGAATCGTCGAAGCTGGCAGGGTGGTGATCATCGGCCTCGTCAAGTTCAAAACTGCGTTGAGTGGCTTCGGCTCCGGCTTCAAGACCGCGTGCCGTGCTGTCGTCGTGGTCGTGCTTATCCTCATCGAAGTTGGGCTGGTGGGCATCTTCGACGATTGGCGTGCCAGGTCTAAGGACTTCCTCTTGGTCCTCGGCTATGACAGACTTATCGCCCTCATCATGCTCATCATCTTCCTCTCTGTGGACGAGCTCATCTTGCCCTACCGCAGTCGGGGAGTCTGCGCTATGTTCCTCATCAGGACCGATATGTGCCGATGCTTCTCTGGGCTCAAGATGCTCCTCTTTCTCGACATCTGAATGCTCCTCGATACGCGAAGGCTCGTCGGCAGGGAAACTCGTCTCGACATGCGAAGACTCCTGGTCATGTCCAACCTTTGTCTGGTCGACGGCCTCTGATGAGTGCGCCTCTTCGAGCTCAGCATCAACGTCATGTTGATGAAGCTCGACGGTTGGAACATCCTCGTGGACCGCCTTTGTCGCAAGTGATTCTTCGACAGGGGGGCTGTCTAAAGACCTTGACGTCGGTGCTTCATCGAGGGCAGTCTCGGAATGATCGCTGGAATCGCGGTGGACGACCGGTGCGGCAGAGTCGTCGGCGGCAACGACTTCGTCGTGCTCATCGTGCTCGTCGGGGCCAGATGAAAGATTCTTGTCGGCGTCGGCCAAGTCATCAGCGTGAGCAAGCTTGCCTTCTTCCATGGGAGCAACAAGGGTCTCTCCCTTGTCTTCGTGATCACTTTCGGGCTCAGGGAGTGCATGATTGATCTCCTTGGTCTCAACTTCGGACTCGGGTGCTTGTACTGGTTCGTGGCTCTCAAGCTGTGCAGACGCTGCCTCGGCACCTTCGGGGTCGACAACCTCAGTTGCCTGGGCTGGTACGTCGCTGTCGATTGCAGAAACTTCAGGTGTTGACCTCTCTCTATCATGGGGCGCCGTAACGTTGTCAGCGGCCTTGGTTTCCTCGACAGCATCGTCGGCTTCAGCGTGCGAAGCTGGGAATGCTTCGGAGGTGTCCATAGACGGAAGAGCATCGACCTTCTCACTCTCGAGATCAACTTGCCGGTCCTGCGCCAGCTCGTCATCCGCTTGTGGACTCGTGTCCTCGACGGCGGATGTTGGCTCTTCTACGACCGACTCCGGCTCCTGAGTCTCAGGATGGTCGTCAGCCGCCTTTGCCTCCTCAAGCTCCTCGTCTCTATCCGCTGAAGAGATTTCGGGAACTTGAGTCTCTTCTTCGGCCACGTTCTCGACATGAACAGAGCTGTCTTCTTGTGGAGGCGATGATGGCTTATCATCCTTATCGACGATCGGCTGGTCTGACACGGGTTCAAGATGCTCAGCCTCAGACTCGGCAGGTTGAGAAGGCTCGTCGTCTTTAACCGCAGGTGTATCCTCGAGGTCTCGATCAGCCGCGACTTCGACCTCCGCAGGAGGAACGACGTCTGGAGATTCCTTCGCTTCCTCGACTTCGCCAAGCTCAGGAGATGTAGAGCGCTCGATGGCCTCAGCGTCGTCTTGGTCACTCTTGTCGTCCTCAACGGGCGCTGATGGCGATTCGTCCTTGTCCTCGTCCACATGCAAAGCTGAAACAGACTCCGCATGCTCATCATCGACTTGAGGCTCCGGCGACTGTGCCGGCTCGTCGCTCTCGGCAACAGGAGTCTTCTCGGTCTCAGCAGCCTCTTTAACCTCTTGCCCAACGGCACTTTCTGGCTCATGGGACTCGGCAACGTCCTCCGCCTCCTTCTTCCCCTCGGTCTGATCAACCTCGGGGGCGTCAGAGACTTCAGCAGGCTCTGTCACAGTACTGGAGTCGGTGGCGGCGTCAGAAGGTCCATGAGCGGAATCGTCTGCGTCAAGGACACCACGAGCGTGTTCCTCTCCGTCCGAATGCACAGCGTCCCGCTCTTTGGAATCTGCATCTTCAAGATCTTTGCTGGCAGTGGTTGGTAGATGCTCTTCCTCCTCCTGGGTTGTCGGGGGTTGGTCACTGACTTCCGCTTGAACTTCTTGAGAGGCACCTTGGGCCTGGGCATTGTCATCGGTGCCGAGAGTGTCTTGTTGCTCAACTTTCTCCTCGGGCTGGGAAGGCTCAACTACTTGCTCATCTGCTGGCTGGTCTTGGTGGTCCTCATCCTTGGATTGAGAGTCGTCTGGGGCGAGATCGACTGGGGCTTGGGGATTATCAGAAGCGTGAGCTTCATCCGAGGCTTTGCCATCGGCGTCATCTGCGACGACGGCGCCGCTTTGGTTGTCCTCCAAGTCTCGAATCTCTTCTACTTCGACTGTGGCATCGTCAACGGGTTGTTGATCTGCGGCAGAGGCTTCGACAGCATCTTCAGGCTTGTCCTGATCCTCTGTTGTCTCCACAGCCAAGTCCCTTGTCGGCACCTGCTCAGGCTCTGGGACAGTGCTTTGCTCAACTTGCTCGGCCTCTGGTGACTCATCATCCGCTGCTCCAGGCGTGTCCTCTGCTGGCTCTTCTGCGTAACTTTCGGCGGTGACCTCGTCCTTGGGAAGGCTGTCATCCTCGGCCGGGGTGGTATCTGGTACAGAAACTTCCTCGGCAGGTGCCTCCACAGGCACCTCGGCAGACTTCTCATGGTCAGAGACAACTTCTTCCTCCTTCGCAAGGTCTTCCTTAGGACTAGTGTCGTCCTCAGTCTCATCCTTTGCAGGGGCATCGGTGACTTCAGCCTCTTCCGGTGATGGGCCATCATCTTGTGCGGGAAGATTGTCTTGTACCGCGGCGACTTCCGGTTGTGAAGGCTCATCATGTGCCGGTGTCTCGTCTTGAACGATCTCCTCTTCTACGACAGCCTTGGAGCTGACGTCTGGAACCTCTTGGCTCTCAGCCGAGATCTCCGCGGATTGCTCGGTCTCCTCGGTGGGCGTTAAATGTGCCTCCCCGTTCTCGACCGGATCCGTACTTGGGCCGTCGTCCGCGGTCGACTCGTCAACGACAGCCTTAGCGGAGATCTCAGGAATGGCTCTCTCTTCTGCCCCATCATCGACGGCATCGTCCGCAGTCTGCGCCTCTTCATTCTTCGGGGTATCATCATCCTCTTTCTCGGCGCTTGGCTCGGGGGCGGTGTCGTCTGCAGGCTTCTCCTGCTCAACTGGCTCATCTGAGGGACTTGTCTCTACATCGGGACTCTCCTCGGCTGCGGGGGCACTCTCCTGCGCAGGTTCTTCACTCGGAGCTTCATCTGCAAGGCCCTTGTCGGCGACAGGGGTGTCCTCTGCTTCACCTGCTTCAGTTGAAATCTCCTTTGCCGTGTCACCAGCTTCTAGAGCGTCTTCGGCCACAGGCGTGTCTTGGGGTGCAGCCGTCTCTTCGGCCGAAACCTCTCGCGTCGCGTCATCCGTCGAGGGAGCATCTGCATCTCCAGAAGCCTCCTGCGCCAGCTCGTCCGGAGAAGTTGGCTCAGCGGGCGCGATCTCTTCCACGGGTTCGTCAGCTGGGGCAGCTTCTTCGGCCAGTGCGGTCTCGGGCGCTTCCACCGCCAGGCCCCTGACCTCTACCGGAGACGTGCTCTCCGCCTCAGCAGGGGCTTCTTGGGTCTCCTCGGTCGCAGGAGGTTCAGAAGGGATCTCTTCCTTGGCCTCCTCTGTAGGCGCGGGCTCGCTGGCCTCTTCCGGCGCAGCAGCCTCCTCGGGCTGCTCCGGGACGGAGTCGTCTTTGCTGGTCTCCTGGGCCTCGGGAGCAGCCGCCTCCGTCGCGGGTTTGTTTTCGCTAGATTGAGCCTCCTCCGTGCTCACCGCCTCCAAGCTCTTTTCAGCCATTGGTTCTTCGTTTGGTGGCTGGGAGTCGTCACCTTCTTGGGTATCTTTGTCTTCGGCGGCGGGAGTTCCTTCGGCGGGCGGCGTGGGTGGTGCGCTCTCGGCCGGGCTCTCGGCTGCTTTCTCTGCCGTCTCCTCCTTTGGCAGGGGAGATGGCTGACCGGATATTGTTCCTCCTCCTCTGCGCACCGTTCGCGCTCTCTTGCGGGTCGGGATCGGAGGCACCGACGCCTTCATCTGCTCTTCGATCAAGCGGTTGAGTTCCTGTTGGTAAAGTCAGACCCCGTTGCACGCCCAAGCCCACACCCCGACTTACTGCTCTCTTCTTCTCGAGCTCTGTCAACTTAGCTTCTCCCTCGGCTATCACCTTGGCGGCCTCGTCTTCGATGTCGTCCATGAGGCCATCCATCTCGTCTTCGACGTTATGCGTAGTGGTATCAAAGGTGTGCAATTTCTCCTCGTCTTCTTTGGCTTTGCGGGCGGCGAGCTCCTCGTCTTCTCTTCGCCGACGGGCCTCGCGTTCCTCATCTTCTTTCCGCCGTTGCTCGGCGATTTCTTCCAGCTCTTTCTGCCGTGCCGCCGCGAGCTCTGCTTGCTCCTGTTCGTATGCGGCCTGGAGCTCTGCAATCGTGTTATCACGCTTCTTCTCGAGCTCATCGAGTTTCGTGTCGCTCTCGGCGGCAGAGGTCGAGAGGCCCTCGATCGTCGCGTGGATCGAAGCAAGGGCCTCATTCATCTGCGCCACGAGCGTGGCGACGTCCGTTTTGGCAGTCATCGGATGGGTATCAGAGAGTCAATGCTCTCTACGGAGATTAAGGTGCGGATTGAGGAGATGTGATCAATCGAGCGTGGGATTGTGAGAGATCCCAAGTCTCGGAAATGGCAGGTATCGTGTAGTTTTTTGCTGATTGACTTTTCACAGACGTTGACTAAACGTTCGAAACACACACGTCGGCTGCGGGGTGGCCGTCAGTTTACGATATATACCATCCTCGCTGCTCCGGAGTAACAGCCGTCAAGTTCTAGCCCAGGGACGGTCAGGAAAGCCCGGTCGTGTGTGATGTTCCTCCCACCGATCATGCAGTCCCCGTCCAGGACATGGCCAGGCCACGCTTGTATGCCCCATGCCCCGCCGGCCGAACACCGATGATGAGAGGAAAGCTCCTTTGTGCCAGAGTTGCCAGTGCACCGCTCGTTCCGTGATTGGAGCGAGCCGCGGCTCCCTCTCATCCGATGTTGGATCAACGAAGCCGCGGTGGACCCTCCTACCCCTTCGCAACGCATGACATCCACATACAAATGGTGATGTTGCCAGGGACGCGAGGGGGCCGCGATTGAGTCAAGGCTGCAGACTCTTTCATTTCGCCCATCGTCGAATAGCACCGCCATCGAGGGGACGATCCAGTACCTCCAGCGCGAATTCGCCTTGTCGCTGGGCAACCTGGTGACAGCTGTCAAATATCGACAGCATCCTCCTTGCCTCGGGAGAGGGTATTTGGGGCTTCATTCCCAGGGTTTCGCTGCTGCTGCGTCTGATGTTATGCCACGGCGGCTTTGCCATTGGGTCAAGTCTCTTGGAGCAAGTCTTCAGGCATGTGCGATGAGTGCGTTGGCGACAAAAGGCGTGGACAGGCGTTCCCTGCTAGAAACGAGCATCATTCATGCGCCCGGGTAAGCATTGAGAGTTCTGAGCGCAGCAGATTACCACCGACGTGGAACCGGCGTCTAGCAACCGCTTGGCCGCATGAAATTCGCTGGATATGGTCGGTATTGTGATGCATTTGGGCAGTTTCAGGACTCCCTCCGGGGTACGGAAGAGAGGGAGTTTGGTCGAACACGGCGGCTCAAATGAGTGAGAGATGAGCCACAGTTGACCCCTTCAAACCAACCCGCGCTTCAAACCACGTGTCCGAGCCGCTGCGACGTGAAGATTCAAGCCACATTGTGGCTGCGGCGGCTCAGGGCCTCGGAACCGACCGATGTATTCGATACTCAAAACTATGACGTCACGGCCCATTTGCTAGGACGGCGCCAAGTGGATGTCTTCTGTTGTTTTGTTCGCCTCGTTATGTTTCTGGTGGTGTTGATATTGATCCTGAAAAACTTTGCTCCAATCGCCGATTCAAACAACATTGAGGTTGCCAAGTTACTTCGTCTGCAGACCGGAAAACTGGATCGAGATGACTTGGCGTTGCATCGTCAGGTTCGTCAATCCGCAACTCCACCTTCTCCAGGATACCCTTCGTCTGATGATGTCCGTGAGGCTTTCCGAGATGCCCTTGATGCCCGACAGGACATGGTGATACCGAGGCCTCCCGCTAGCCCCAGCGGACAATGGAGAGAGAAAACAGGTTCGATACCGCCGTGACTAGTAAATCGTCTTAAAATTCATCAATATACACCAACCAGCCAACCGCTAGCGCCTGTCATGGGCATCTTCATGTATGTTGTGATGGTCCAAACTTGATAGAAGGTAGCTGCCAGCTCAGAGTATGTGCGGGTTATTTGAGTGCAGCTTACCTATCGCATTCTTGCATTCTTGCAAGGGGGTGGGCGGGAAGATTCATGCAATCGCACTGGCCGAGTCAGATGTTAATCATGATGTTGCCGCACGTCGACTTCAGATGAGCTTTGTCAGCACAGCTTGTGATAGAGGATTGCATATCAAGTCCTTCAACGTCGCAATTTGTAGGATAGGGCGGAGGTTTACTGATATTCCGGGTGTGATTGGGGCTTGATATGATGTCCTTAGTGAGATCAAAGAATAAATTACAACAAAAGTCTTTATCAGCGTCAAGACGCCTGATGGCGAAGCATCTCTTCCTACGCCAGCTTCCTATCTTAGATTGAGCAGTTACAAATACTCTAGTTTATGGATTAACCAACAGATGATCACATTTCTTTGCGGCCGATCTTACATCGAACATTCAGGTAACTATTCCGAAGCGCAGCCTTTTGAGGGGTCACTTAAACCGTAGGTTTTTCTGCTTTTCACATAGCACCAACAAAAGTTCGAGCACGACATTCCTCGGATTGATTAGCTTTATGAGTAGTATGCGCCATGATCATCATTTCAACTAGCAGACGAGGTATCGTTAAGGACTTTCAGCACCGAGAATCACATTGTCTATTCACTTTGGTGTCGGTATCCCTTAGTACACTGTTTCTATTTCGTGTCCTTAGTGAAGCCTATGAACTGTCTAACGCCGCATTAAAGAAAGCGCCGCATCAGCTGTGGACTTAGGCCCAGCCCTGGAGATTAAAATACCAAAAGCATCAGAGATGCCGAGACTGTAGCCTTTAGGATATTTTGAGATAGCTGATGGGCACTGCTCTCATGTCAAGAAGATGCTTCGCTTTAACAGGGTACGAAGAAATGATTTCCATCAGCAACCTTTCCCCCACCCCCCCTACGTCACGATGTCTTTCAAAGCCAATCAGGCTAGCTGATCTAGGCCAGCGTGTATCTTAATGCAATTATTCAAGGAAAGCAAGATGATGAGGTTCCGCTTCCATCAGCCGTGAGAGTGCAATCATGTGAGATTTTCCTTCATGCCGGCTTTACTTGCCACGATCTCGATCCCAGCATACCTATGATATTGAAGTACTCTAGCGGCGAGCTTCAAGAACCTCGATCTCAGTCGATGGCCTCTCACTCGTTCTCACACTTTCAGCCCTCTTTCTCGCAGTGAAGCATCTCCGGTAGAGTCCTGCCTGAGGGGGCCATAATCACTAGAGCCGAGGTTGATCTGGGCTTAATCCAGAAAAGGTCACAACGGGGTTTGTCATCGATCTATTATCCTCCTCGAAGCTTGACTCCCGTTGAATTATTTCTGGATAGATACGAGTGCAAGAATGGGCACGCTTTGGTGGAGTCAGGCCGGAATTGGTGTTGTCACTGCCACAGCTATGTCTCGTGTCAGGAGAGTTTTGTTGAACGACTTTTGCAAAGTAGCTCATGGTGAAGATGAGACAGAGCGTCTTTGACTCTGTGGTATGTCCGTGTCAATTATGTTGATGACTTCAAGGCCGTTGCAAAAGAATCTTTGAGCCGGGTTATCCAAAACATTGGCTTGAACCATTTGGTACGCATTTCTGGCTGACGATTCAAGTTCAAATTGATTGCCAGCGTTGCGAAAGACTTGTTCAAAGGGGAGTAGCCTGTCTGGTCTGGCTGGACCCCGGTCTCAAATCTATCCAAATAACCATCTCATGATAAAAAGATTTTATAACTAGATGTTCACTCAACGCAGTTTCTACAGCGTTAACAAAACTGAGGGTAATGCAGACATTAAAGGGAATGCGTTGCTACAGGGGCAAGCCATCCATAATGAAACAGGAAAAAAAAAAAGAACAAACAGCAAAAAGAGGACTGCTGGTCAATCGCGTACGGGAATTGAGCCCGACGTGGGGGTCGAACCCACAACCTTGAGATTAAGAGTCTCACGCTCTACCGATTGAGCTAGCCGGGCGATTGGAAACCCAGCTTGAAGTCTTGGTTGGTGACGACGAACCGGCGTGGAGACGATCATAGCGGGAGGGACGCTGAAGTTGTGGTGGTGGAGCACGGGAACCCACATGGTGAGCGAAGGGCCCAAGTCTGGTTGAGACATAGCGTTTCGACCCGCCTTTGGTTTTGTGGTATTGTGTTAAGATTGAAAAAAGGTCGAATGAGACGGTTGGGCTTTGAAGATGGCTGGGTATGCCGGGATCGGGCTGTGCATTAGGCAGTCTATCAGCAGCTTTGATTATGGCTGCCAACCGCAGTCATCGTAGAGTGAGGCACAAGCATTGAAAATCACAAGGTGTGTCAAATCAGAGCAAATTCTTTTCTTGTTGCGTTTTTAACTTGAACTACTCTGGTTGGTCGTTCATGACCAAGCGTTGCTGGTGCTGTTCTGCTGACTGCAACGGCTTAGAAGGACGGCACTCATCGCATTTCAAGCGCCCTCGAAATGCCTCCGTGTACGGAACAATAAGCATTTTCATGAGTCGTTCAAGAGGGAGAGGTAATGTGAAAGTATCCATGATTTATGATTTCAAATATGCTCCCAGCAACACATCATGAATAGGTCTCGTTATTGAGATGACTCCGCCTTCCTATCTCCAGTGGACATGCAAATGGGGTGCCTGATTTCGAGTTCTACGATTGAGTGCTGTATGAAGATCAAATTCAATGTGTTTATGTGTAAAGACCGAAGATGTAAGGCTTGATGTTTGGATCATCAGCCATGTTCTTACCCCGTAACATAACTCTACAACCTACCATACATAAAATACTTGCTTCCTTTTCGGAATATTACGCTTTTCGCAATCAAATGGGCTCGTAGACCCGGTCCTCATAGTCCTCGAGTATGAAGCCTACCGATCTGATCAAAGTTGGGGAGGAGATCAACGCAAAAATGTGTCCTTCTCTCCGTTGATCATGATGTTGGAAGACAGATTCTAAGAATGGGCTCCTAAGGATGTTAGAAACGTAACCATGAAATACAAAGAAGATTATTCCATCGAACACTGCATATATAAAATGTTTTCTAACCGTTACTTTCCGTGTTCCAAAAGTCCAGAGGCACTCAGCGGACGACTTCACGCCGCCTCCCCCGGGACTGCCGGCCATTATACGGTACCCGGCAGCCTCCGGACTTTACTCCGGCCACACCGGGATACTCTACCTCCCGCAACCGCTTCGCCGCTTCGTACTCTCATGGTATGAATCACGTGTACTCCGTCTCACAGGACAGACCTAGAAAGCCGAATATATCCGCCGCAAACCCC